AAATTAAATCAAATTTTTATAATAGAGCTAATAAACCGATATTTAGGGGATGATTTCTAGGCCCACATAATTAGGGGTTACCGACCCTTGATCTCAAAAAAGTTTGTACAGGGTGATTCACTATATTTTGAAACTCACTGGTAAACATTTCTTGCTATCAATAAATCATTTTTGTGTCAGTACACCCTAGATTACATGTAGCTACAGAGCTACAGTTAAATTTGCATTGATATTGTAGACAAAAAAAGAAAAAATATATATTTTTTAATGTAAATGGATTTTATTGCATATTTTAACGTAGTTTTTAGTTCTGATCAACTTTTCGTTATAACAATTTTCGATATTGTCAAATATAAAGGTACTTTACTCTTAAGTAAAATTCATAATATTTGAGAAACCGCGTATACGACTGAAAAAAAATTAATATCTAATGTTTATATTTTAGATTTTATAATATGCAGAACTTTTTACGAAAAAAAACTTTTTTCCTAAAATTAATAATAAAAAACGGTTAAACGAATTCTGTTCTTAATTTTATGATCTACATAGATTTTATAGAAACATGTTTAGTATTGTATAATTAATATTATAATTAAAATAATTAATAACTCACAAGGAGATGTGTATACACAGAGCCTAAGTGGCTCCATCTATCCTGCTACTTCCAACTTACGCCATTTTGTGATCTGCTACAATTTTCTTTCAAGAAAACATAAGTTTGATTATAATGTGCTACATTTGTCTTGAATAATTCCTACATTAATACTAAATTTTAAATATATATACATATTTTAAGGAACTGGTAGTTTTGAAACAAAAATGTTTGCAGTTAATGATGAACTGTAAAAAATTTTGTAGTTAGAGTACGAGATAATAAATTTCAAAACTATAAAAGATTTGAATTAAATTATATGTATTTACAAATAATATAAATTCTAAGGAAAATTATAGATTACAGCAAATATTTCACATAGTTTGACGAAAGTATATACATTTGAATAGAATAAAAAACATATACGGCAAATAATTCCAATTAAAATATATGCTCATTTGATCCAAATACTTTTTTTCAGTGTAGGGCAATTTATATTGTGCATAAAATGGGTAGCCAGTGAACTACGTCGCTAGAAACAGCAAAAATGAAAAAATAGAAATTTTCTTAAAATGGCATGGACAATATGTCCAATGGTGTGAAATACGTCACTGTTTATACAGGGTGTTTAAAACATACCACTGTCTTAAATTTTTATCAACATGGATCAAAAAATAGTTAACATCAGCTAAATTTCAATCAGATTACTAAAGTTTAAAAGAACTTTGACATCCTATATCTCAGAACCTATATAAAGATGGTCTTTTTGATTTAATTTTGGATAACAAAAATCTAGCCGTAAGTTTTTTTAAACTAAGGACTGAGAGGTGTTAAAGAAAATTTATAAGCATTTTNATTACAAGATGTATCATTTTCTTAATAAAAAACCTTCTTTTCGTTTTTTTAAAGTATCTCGCTTATTGTTAGAGATGGACCCAACAAACCCTATATGGCTATGCTCGACAGGGAACGTTCTATCCAAATATGTAAAAATATACAGGGTGTTCCATTTAAATGAACAAAGTTAACATCCGCGGCCATTTTGTTTGGACTTCATTTTTTTACTATCAATTTCTGTTACTGTTTGTATCACTTCATTAAAAAATATTATAAATGCTGCAACTCCATTGGAGATATCAGGTCTGGCAACCCCTATTTTAGTTTTATATTTTGCACATTAAGTTCGAAATTTTTTTATCAAAAAAGTTCTCTCTGTGAGCCTTGAAATTAACCCCTAAACAACGGTATGGGTCTCATGCCTTATTATCAAAATATGGCCAATTTAATTTTCACCAGCCACCGCTGATCCCCTCAAACTTACGGAGTTGCTGTTTACAAGATAGCGGAACCCCGAAGCATAATTCCTTCGAACCTACATCCCTTAAGTTCCCTACCCCGCAGCTCGCCCAATTACAACCCCACTCACCTATCCCGTATCCCTTCGTGGCCTCACCCCTCGGATCCAGCGCGAACTTGTACACGTGGTCGTTCACTTCCAGATGCCTAATGCACCCCCTGAGCCCTCTCGCCACGAGAAGCTTTTCCGTAAGGCCGGTGGTGTTGCCCGGGCCGCCGATGAACAGTGGCTCCCTGAAGGTTATCCTGGAGAAGAGGCCCTTGCTGCGACCCTGCACGTGCTTGCCGCCGTTCAGCTGCAGCCACGCGTCCCACCGGTGGCGGTAGAGGGTTACGTGGTTCCACTGGTTGAGGAGGACGGTTTCCTCGGAGCGGACGACGCCCACGCCCGAGCCGCAGTCGAATCTGGAAATGAAATGTACTTACAGGACCCACATTGTGTTAACAGCGTTTTTCGAAAACTTTTTAAATTTTTAGTTAAAAAGAAAGAGGAAGAAATTCCAAAATATTTTTTGTAAAAGTGCCAATTATAAATATTTTTCTTATACAGGATGTCCAGAAGCCGACAAACGACAACCAGAAATTCTGTGGATGTTTTTACGCCGACTTGAACAAAATCACATAAAAACTGTTAAAAAATCGGTGTGAGTGAAAGCAACAAAGGTGTACGGAGTGAATTTATTGAGTACATATTAACTAATTTTGAGCAGAATACTTTTACTCATTTGTGATAATATTTGAATTAAAGCTGCGTATGTTCACTCAAATATAGGTACCCGTTAAATAAATTTTCCAGATAAACTCGTATTTGGTACACTTGTACCTAAATCGGAGTAAATGTCCTCATTATTGAATGACCCCACCTCATTCCATGGTTGTCATGCGTTGTCTTTGTCTATTCCCATCGACCCCATTAGGTTGTGGTGTATTATTTTAAAGATATTGACTCGAAATTTGAAAAACGCTTTGGAGGGATAAATGTGCACTTTTTGTGGTGATCCGAATATTTCCACTTGCACCAGTGGCGTTCTTGCGAGAATGTCACAATCTTCTTTAAAAAAATGGTACGCCACTGACTTTTCTCGTTTTAATATTTTTTTTAGAATTTCGCCATCAATTTTGAATGAAATTGGTCTCTTCAATTTTTTTCGTAGGATGCACCGGTTTTGAGGAAAAATTAAACATATTTTCTTGCAAGTTGTGCATTTTTAATTTCTATTGATACATTATCTATACTCCGCGTTCGAAATTATAGAGAGTGACTCAGGCATAATATAAAAACACTATTACCATAATGCGTATAAAATATAAAATTATTTTTATACGGTTCAATATTATTTATCTTTGTGCCGCGCGCTACGCACATCGATATAATCTATAATCGTCTATACTTAGACTGAATTACACTGAACGTCGATTCTATCTCTGTTTTTTGCACTTGTTAGGGAATAGGGAAATGCTTTTTTAGTGGGTGTAAACGGACTTGATTTATCCGTCCTGAGAAACGTCATAGCATAAGCGTAGACGAGGGGTCTAATTCAATGGCTATAATAAATTTATAAATTAAAAAAAACACAACTGGCACGTTTTA